AATTACAGTAATTGTACTTCCCTCCTCCGTTTTGTCGTTTTTCGAACGGAAGAATGTAACTTCATTCCAAAGTTGCAAAATTGACTCAAACTATTCAAACCTACAAGACTACGCGTGCTTTTTTCATCCGAAAATTTTCCTGATTTTTCCATGAGATCGGAAGGAAAAACAGAGAAACTTTCTGTCAGAGATGCCCAAAATTTCCGATAAAAATACAATATACGAGAGGAAATTGGGCAACATCGGAATATAGTTACGTTCTTTTGTGAGAGAAACGACGATTTGTGAGAGGTCACAACTTCTCGATCGACTCTGCCGTTTCGCCGTTCGTGGTAACGACCGAATCGATTAAAGAAATTAATTTCCTTAATCGAGTTTCCCCCAAAAGTTCGACTAATCTATTTTAAACGGACCGACTGATCAAGCTAAAGAGCAGAAGTCGTCTAATTTGTAAATAATGAGAGCCACGAAACAGCAATAAATGCGCAAAAATGTACGTCATTTCAAACGCAGCAGCAATTCCACTTTTTTCGCGAGTTTTGCCAATCCTCGCCCTTTTCTGCCAGTTTCTGACTTCAAAATTTGCTTATGGTCTGTCAAAAACATAATCTGCATGAATCCAGAAGATAGCACATACTGCTGTCTCGCGGAACACGGAACGGAGGTCCTTTCGGTGTTTTCAAAACGCAAATTATCAATTTTGAATCATGCTAGCAAGTTTCAATTGTGTGTTGGGTGCTTATTGATTATTTAATTATACATCTAATAAATTTAATTATTAATATAATAACCCTCCACGTATTGATGTTTTTATAAACTATTTAGATTTAAATAATTATCATATCTGGATTGATAGAATTTAAAATTGTTGGAATAATGTGTAGCATGGAGGTATTTTTAATTTTTAAGTTGAAATTTCTAATTTACGAATGAAGGATTTGTTCCTCACTCAGATGCTACCCGGCCTACTTTCCCAAAACTTCGTTTCTAGAATCACTGATCTCCTTGACATCACGGCAACAATGGGTCAGTTGTGCGTGTTACAGAATGATGTTTTATTGGTTTAATTTTTCAAAACGCCGGCATACATCCAGATCTATATCCTAACGCTAAGTTTCCATAGCAAACATGAACCCATACGAAAGGCGTTCCAATGTTGCATTACGATTTTTTTCAGCCCCCTCCCCTTTTTTACTCCATTCCCCTCTGTAACGCAATCGTGAACCCAGTGCCTTTCATGAATTCCTGAATTATTGGCGAATTGTCCCCTGCGCATTTCAGTTTGCATTATGAGTACGTTACAAGTAGGAGGAGTTGCAAAAACAATAAACAGGAGGGTGTCTAGCATTAGGAAAAACCGGAAAATTTCAGGAATTCTGGCCGATCAGGAAAACATCAGGAAAATCGGAAAAATCGGACGTTTTATCAGGAATTTTTCGTCCGCGAATCTCCTCAGCGGAGAAAGTCTTACTGCTTTTTGCCTACCGTGCCAGGAGTCGAGAAAAATCAGGAAAATATCAGGAATTTTCAAAATGAAAAAATCAGGAATTTTTCATAAAATATCTGGAAAAATCAGGAAAATATCAGGTAAATATCAGGATTTTTCATATTTAAAAAATACTAGACACTCTGACAAAGTGTTTTACGCAATATGTAAATCAGGGTTTTCGGTGGTCTGAAGAACCCGGAAAGTCGTGGAAAGTCAGGGACATGATAACGACCTGAAAAACAGTGGCATGGCTTGCTTTGTGATATATAGGTTGATCTACATTTAAACCCATGGAAAAGGATCGATAGACAGGGTGTTCACACCGAACACCTTAATAATCGATCTTTCACCATAGCTTCAAATAGGGAATAATCTATAATTCACGCTTCGCCTCTGCTGGAAAAGTCAGGAAATTCGCGGGAAACGTCAGGAAATTTCACAAGCATCGTTCAGCAGAGGGAGATATATAGTTAAAGATGAGAAAATTCAAATTTCAGGGAAAATCAAGGAATGCGGAAAAAAATTGAATGTATATTTAGCATTTTCACTGGAAAAAATTACGCAACAAGTATAAAATGTTGGTTTTACATTAAAACAAATGCCACCTTAACATTGAATTTGTTCATTTAACCGTGGACGTAGTTGACCTAGTATTTTTTTAATTGTAAAATCAGCACTTATACTTGTTGAACATTTTTTAAACATTATAAATGCTGCAGCAACATTCACTTTTTTTCCGTGAATTTGAAAATTTTAGAAAATAGGGAATTAGGGAAAAGCAAAGTTAGACAGGGAAAAGCGGAAGAATCAGAATTGAAGAACGCTGGAAAAAAAACACATTGGATCCAGAGTCCAGACTCTTGAAAACATTGGCAAGAAAAAATACTCTTGATTCAATCAGATCTTTGCTTAAATCAAAAGGAAATCCGCCCTAATTAAGAGGCTTGGTTCTTGATTTAAGAAAAAATCCGATTGGATCAAGAATATTTTTTCTTGTCGATGTTTTTAAGAGTCTGGACTCTAGATCCAATGTGTTTTTTTTCCAGTGAAATTGTGGAAACCTTTGTAAACGATCCCTCACTGTTTGATAAAATCGAGAAATTCTCAGCACACAGGGCAACCGCGAAAATAGCGCCCCCTGAGCTGTTACTGCACCGTTAATTCTCTCCCCGACCTAGAGAAGAAGAGGGAACTGTCCCTGAAATATGATCCTTCTTCCTATTATCTCTTCCGTCTCCAGCGCTCGTTTTTAAAACGCATCGCATCTTTGGAGAATAAAGACAATTTTCCTCGAGATACCGCTTTTCTCTCCCGAGCATTCTGTGTGTATCCATTGATTTCATAGCTTTTCAGGAATCCTTATCCGCCCTTGCTTTCTTGATCTCTTCTCTTCGGAAATCTAGTTCTTTATTACAATACTCGCTTTAGCCCTTTGCCATGTCCTAAGCTTTCAAAATAGTCGAAAGTGTCGGGTCGGTTTTTTTTTGGTGGCCAAACCCATCGACGCAGCAAAACGATTGTAATGGGGATGTTGCGTGTGCGAGAAATTTGCGATTTGACTGTTGATACTTAGGTAAAAGTTCGCGAGAAATACGTTGGTGCCACTGGTTTTCTCTGAAATCATCTCCCAAGCTCAATAAAAGCTCTCAAGTTGAGGCCAAAATGGAGGGGATATCCCACGCTATCCTGAGAGTCCACCTCTACATCAAGACAAACTCTCCATGCAAAGATAGGGAGCAAATACATTAGCAGTGATGCCGTGTTTTCAGTTTTGGAGTCCCCAAATAAAGTGGCAGCCCTGTCAATGTATTTGCTCCCTATCTGTGCATGGAGAGTTTGTCTTGATGTAGATGTGGACTCTCAGGGTAGGGTGAGATATCCCCTCCATTTTGGCCTCAACTTGAGAGCTTTTTTTGAGCTTGGGAGATGATTTCAGAGAAAACCAGTGGCACCATCGTGTTTCTCGCGAACTTTTACATAAGAATCAATGGTCAAATCGCAAATCCCTCACACGTGCAACATCTCCATTTGGAATGATCGGAAATGTTCTTCGATGGGTGTATCAGCATTTTTGTACTTACAGGGTACAGTGTGAGGAGGATGGGGATGACAATAACCGAACGCAAGGAACAGGATCACAGGGTGATCCAAAAGTCTTTTCCACCTCCTCCAACTATTTACCTGATCGAGGTACAGATATGAAACCTTGAGAATGTCTCTAGGTCAAATATAGCTACTTTTTGGTTTCCCTAAAATTTTCAGGGGTTCACCTCGGGAATACCGGACTTCAAATTTTTTTTTTCAAATGGGGAGACCTCCCTTGTGGTACCTCTTTCAGGAGAGCACGAAATAAAACTTATCGCGCAAACCCGGAGTCGATATCTTAAACCGTTTCCAAATGGTGCCCGGTTAAAGTTTAAAATGGCGGAAAATCGGCACCAGTTTTTTGCCGATGTATCAGCATGACAGTCGGTTTGTGGGGGTATTTTGACACGAGAAACACAAATTGACGTTAGAATTTAAAAAAAAAAAAAAAAAAAAAAACAATCCGCTCTCTGAGCCCTGAGATGTCTTTGGTCCTTACGGATAAAGCCTGAGGGCAAATCTTCAAAAGGGTCAAACAATCTCGATTCTCAGCTCAGGAAATCTGCGTTGTACCAAAGGAAATTTGGCGACAGACGATATGGTTCACGCGGTATTTTCCCTCTGCAAGTTGGCATAGTTTTCATCCATAAACTACAAGTCCTTCTTCATAGCGGAGCACACTCAAACACAGTGCGGCCAGCGCGAGGCGATCAATGGAGCCTACAAGACTGCTTGGATACTTCACGCATTTCGCACACCGACCACTGGGATACTTCACGCATTGCACGTACTCCACAGTCCGTAGGCGCAATGCGTGAAGTATCCTTGCAGTCTTGTAGGCGTTAATAAGCGTATCGCGCTGGCCGCACTGAGATCAGCGAATGTATTTGCCTGAAACTTGAAATGTAGGGTTATTTTGGCATGAGATAAACGAATTTGAAGTTAGAATTTTGGAAAGAAAACTTATTTTCACCAGTCATGATTTTTTTGTATTCGTATACATGAGAGGTTATATGACAACGACTGCGGTGAGGTCGCCACTTGATTTTGTTTCTTATTTTTCGTGCACTGAAAAAAATAATATGCTGTTTTAGCACCTAGGATGTCAAAAATGTGTCTGGTGATCCCAAGATGCTACCTTTGCTCCCCTTGCAGTTAACTTTACATCCTATGAATGCAAATTCAATTGCGTGGGCGATCAAGGCAGTATCTTAGGAACACCAGACACATTTTTGACATCCTAGGTGCTAAAACATCATACCATTTTTTTCAGTGGTTCATGCAGCTGAAAAGGAGCCGGTAACGGCTCGGAACGTCCTGCCTTTTAGTATTTTTCAATGTTTCAGCCTTGTTTACCCATGTTTTAAATCCCTCCCTATTTGTATATACATGTAAATTTGATGGATTATTTTGTTTTTCTGTCCAGTCTGACGAGGCAGGTGAGTGAAATGAGCCTGAACCTGAGTGCGAAACTGGACGAACTACAAACACGTGGCGTGGTGGGAGATCAACAACTGGAAACTTCGGTGGCCTTATCCGAGATCCGCTCGCAGTTGCAGCAGCTGACCAAGTCGGTCGAGTCCTGTCAGTCGGAAGTGTCGGAGGTGAAGCGAGACATGGTGGCCATCAAGAATGAGCTGGACACGGTGCAGCAGGTCAAGGAGGAGATCGAGGAGCTCCGAGAGTACGTGGACCGGCTCGCGGAACAGACCCATCGGCGCAAACTTAGATTACTTGAACAGGTTTCATCTCTTTTCACTCTACCCTTGCTTGAACCCACAGGATCTCCACCGCGCCGAAAAAAAAAAAGTTGCTGAAGTAACATCCCGGATGTTAAAAATCTGCGCGACAACTGTTGAATGTTGTTATGAATAGGTACTCTGGCTGGTAAAGTAACATCCTGGCCACGTTGAATTAACAACCGTAGCGTATATCAACATTCAGGAGTTGTAGCGCAGATTTTTAACGTCCTGGATGTTACTTCAGTAGCTTTTTTTTCGGTGTAGTCCGGATTATCCGGTAACAGTACTCATTTTTTGAGGGCGGTCCGGAAGTACTGGGAACCTACTAAAGTTGCGATAACTTTTTTGGTAGATGATGTTTGGGGAAACAGATTACGGCACCTGAAAGAGCGCGAAAAATCAAGCGGAGCACTGCGCAAAATTTTCCGGAAACGTGTCATTTTAACGCAATAGAGCTTTGAAAAAGTTTCAGATTTTCGAAGCTCCTTGCTGGGTAGGAAATTTTTACTGCAAGGATTGCAGAAAAGCATAGCGCATGGCAAAAGAACCGCATAGCTCACATATGAAGCGTTTTCGGGCATATGTGTGTTGGGGGAAAATTCCATATTTTAAGCTGAAAAATCGATCCTGAAAGTCAAGTACGTTTCCTCCCGGACACCCTTTATTGTTAGAGAAATGAATTGAAAAATCTGGAACTGGAGTCATACTGCACAAGTGCTTTAGATGGCAGTCGAAAGTCAAATTTATTTTGTTGATTTCAAGTTTATAATAATTACAGAATTATTAAAATATTATGATAAAACTTAAAATCACTGTTCAAAGAGGAAATAAATGAGAGAAGCGAAGAGGTAGAAGGATTAAAATAGAGGTGTAAGTGAGGCACTACAGGAGAATAATAAGTGAAGAAAAATAAATATGAAGAAGCTCTGATCTGAAAGGAAGTACGGAATGAACCAGAAAGGTTTTTAGCTTGATAGTAGAGGATCTAGAAAAACGCTTTTAAAGAGGCGTGAAAGAATTTCGAACCTAATTTTTTTCAGTTGCCTTTTTTCAAGTATCTTAAAATCAATTTTTTTTTTTTTTTTCATATGGAAGGAATTATTCCAGCACAGAATTACGGTGCATTAAAAGAGAAAGGGTCAAGAGGGGAAAGAAGATTCGTCTCTTGCTCGGACAAGAAGTCCAGTATTTTTCTGCACAACTTTAATTGATAGAGGAAAATTCGAGGGATTAATGTGAAACTGTCTTCATTTATTATCCCCCCAAAATGAGAATTGCAGTCTGCAGCTGAGTTTTTTTGCCACTGATTCTTTTTGATTTTCATTTCATTTTCAAAATTTTTGTTGTTTTTTTTCAGTTTGTTAATGTCTTTTTTCTTTATTTTCAGATTTCTTATTGGTTTCCTACGATTACGTTTTAATTGGATGCCTCATTTACCGTAATTGTCTAATTATTATTATTATTTTTTGAGTGACCAATAATAATCTTCCCGTTTTTTTGTACATTTATCTAACTTCTTGAATTTTGTTTCTTTTCCTTTAATTTTTTGTGACTCCTACTAATTTATTAAAACTTCTCATCAGAGCTTTGCTAGTGGCTCTGAATTATTATTCGTTTTTAATTTTTTCAGATCTGTAGTTTGATCTCTTTTTTTCTTTTTTATCTCATTATCTCTTTTTGTAATTTCTTATTTTCTTATTATTTTAATTTACTTGTGATTGTTTTGCATTATTGATCTAATTTTTTTCCCCCTCATATATTTAGCCCAAGTTAGAAGTTCAAAATTCAACTTCGTTTTGGGTTGTTTTTCCAGTATTATCTGCTTTTAGTAACGTTTGATGTACACTTGTATCGACGAAAATTTTTGTCTCATTTCAATAACCTAACAAAATTTGTTCCCTAATCGGCTTAAAATTTGTTACTGTATCTCCACGTCATATTAATATGTGTGGTATTATTTTGTTTGCAGGGCCTTACCTTCTTTTTATCGTATACCATCCTTGCGTCTATGCTGGGTATGTTCCAATTTGGATACAACACAGGAGTCATAAACGCACCAGAAAAAGTGAGTCGCAAATGTTTTTTTTGGATGCTCTTCACTTTCTCAAATTACGAAAAGCTTGAATATTACTAAAAATTTTCTTAATTTAGTTTTCTATTCATTAGTGCCTCAATAATAAAAATTAAAATTATTATGTATTCAGCCAAAACAATTTTATTATTTATTTTACTTTAAAATACATGAATGAACACATGATACATTTATATAATAGAGTGGTAAAAATGTAAGCATTAACTTTACCATGTACTCATAATTGTTTTTATTTTGTTCTTCATTAATGACATCCTCCAGATGTACTTAAGTCTAATTAAACTTCTTCTAGAAAAGGAACCATGAACAGAATGGTTTTAAAAATTAAGTAACTGAGAGATCAATTGTCAACCAAAATTTTTACTCTGTCGATGAAAAGTAAAAAGAATGTTCCTAAAAATTCGTTGCTGTTCGGCGCTTAAGTTGGGAAAAAGTATTTTTGATTTGAAACGTAGATAAAATGGAAGGTAAATGATAGAAACATTGCTTTTATTTTTCAACATTAATCGCAAACACTTTAATCTTGTTTACGAGTTGATTTCTAGACTTGTTGTCTTGTGATTCATCTTCCTTATGAAATTTCGAAGAGAATATATTATTCATAATGCATAAATAAGTACCGAAATAATAAAAAGTATTGAGGAAATTTTCATCAGTTCGTCTTGAATTTTTTTGACCTCACTTCATCAAATTATGGTTTTGTTTCAGAACATCAAAGATTTCATGAAAGATGTGTACAAAAGTAAATACAGTGAAGATATCTCAGAAGAGACGGTGCAGTTTTTGTACTCATTCGCTGTCTCAATATTTGCAATCGGTGGTATGATTGGTGGTTTCAGTGGTGGGTTGATAGCTAACAAATTTGGAAGGTAAGATCACTTTTACTTGCAAAATTTTTTTTCGAAGCAAAAAGTAACTCACTAATGAAAAAAAGTGGATGAAAAGCCTGAGGTCATTCATGGACAGCCTTAAAATATTAAGGTGATTCGATGGACGCCATATTTTGTGTCAGAACGGCATGCGATAAATCGCATCAATTGGTTCCATTTTTTCAGCTTCTCACCATTTTTCTCCAATTTTGAGATCGCAATTCTGTTGTCAGGAGACTAAAGCACTCACTTACCAATTTTAACAAAGAAATTCAATGTAATAAAGGCGTGGTTTTTTCAGAGAGAAAACATCGCATTCGATACTGATATCAAAACTGCACTCGAATGCGATATTTTCTCTCTAAAAAAAACCACGTCTTTATTACGTTGAATTTCTTTGTTAAAATTGGTGAGTTAGTGCTCTAGTCTCCTGACAACAGAATTGCGATCTCAAAATTGGAGAAAAATGGTGAGTAGCTGAAAAAATGGAACCAATTGATACAGTATATCGCATGCCGTTCTAACACAAAATATGGCGTCCATCGAATCACCTTAACCATCAATGAGCAAAAAATCGTGGGATTGCCGCAAGTTGGGGTGGGCTCAATAACAACCCTCATCAATGAAGATGTGAGGACCGAACTGCACAAGATGTAGATAAATTAAAAAGAAAAATTATGACTTATGGCTCACTTGCACATTAAAATTCTTTTTATAACAATATTCACTCAGAAATATTTCGTTGCGGCTATTTCTGAAGATAAGCCACGTGCCTAAGACCAGTCCAAAGTAAAAATGGGCCTGTTGCAAACTTCTGCTAGAGCAAAACTAAAAGCTGTTTCTTAGTTATTAGTTAGGTAATGCCTCAAAAATCATGATGAGCGCATCGATCGCGCACAATCGGCAAAGTCTGAAATGCACCCATAACTTCACAATCTTCTAAAGAAATTTGCGGTTTTTTGAGCTTCTTGCTTCAAAAACAATACTACGGCACAGGTGAACATTTTGTTAGTGGAGGCTCTCCATCTTTGACAATATTCATTATGGCTGACAGCAATCTGTCAAAACACGTGTGGTGGGACGAGATAACATCTGACCAGGATAAGACCAGATATCAATCGGTGTGTTTACGTTCATATTTTCCTTGATTCACCTTGAACTCTCCTCGAATTACGCGCAAAACCGCGGAAGCGTTGGCCATGATGAATATTGCCGACGATGGAGAGACTTCTCTAACAAAATGTTCACCTGTGCTGTAGTATCGTTTTTGAAGCGGGAAGCTCAAAAATATGCAAATTTCTTACGCAGATTGTGAAGTTATGAGTGCATCTCAGAGTTTGTCGATGCGCTCATTGTGATTTTTGAGGCATTATCAATAGGATCAACTCTTATTTTTGCTCTGGCAAAAGTTTGCAACAGGCCCATTGTATTAAAAAGAATTTTAATGTATAAGCAAGTTGTGAAATATTTTTTTCTTTTTAATATAGCCCTTATTAATACATCCATTGGTTCAATAACTCTAAAAATTTCTTAATTGTTGATGAAAAACACCATATCGGATCAAATTTTTCTCCCAAAATGTATGAAATTTTTTTACCTAGAGCGAAAGAAAAAATATTAGGCTGCTGAAAAAATTACACGTATTTGAGAGGAAGCATGTACCACAATGGTTTAATTGATACATTAGCTCATTTCATGTCGAGATATACTGAACAGTAAATTTTCTTTCAGAGGGTTTTTTGTTTAATTACTAAAATTAAAATTCTGCTTTTACTTATTCTGTGTACTGTTTCGTGTTTCAGGAAGGGAGGTCTTTTGCTCAATAGTTTTGTAGGTATTGCTGGTGCATCTCTAATGGGATTCGCCAAATTTTTTCACTCCTATGAAATGATTTTTATTGGTCGTTTTATAATTGGAGTAACTTGTGGTGAGTATTAATTGCTTGTGTTGTTTAAATATTGATTAATTTTATTTGAGAGATACAAAAGATATTTTTAAATATCTGTAATATTGCAAATGATTTATATTGTTCTGAATAACTAATAGAATTAGAATACTACTGGATAATGTCTGCTCAATAATTTGATCAAACTCAAAGGAATGCAAGGGAATTTCATTATGGATAACAAATTTCAAGAAAAAAATTAGTTTGACTTTCACAAAGAAATCAGCACATTTTAATGTGGTTGCAATATATCGATTTTAAGAGTAGAAGGATCAAAAATCTTCTTTCTACTTTCATTGCCGCTAATGCCTCAGAATTTGACTAGAATTGTTTGATTTCAATCGATCGCACTTTTCAATGGATTGCTGATATTAATTGTTTGCTGGTTTGATACAATCGTTGATGAGTTTAAAGCCGCTGAATGCAATTTTTCTAATTATTTATGCCAAAATTTAATGTATAGAAATAATTAATTTGAACCCCTCTGCCCTATATTTTATAAACACCAAATATTTATGACCAGGGAGGTTTTTAGATTTGAAAGGAAAAAAAAGTAACAAATATTCAAGAGGTAAGAAAAAATGAACCCTTCTGGAAATTTGATTAGCTCCAGAGAACTCATGGGAATATTAAGGATTATATTTGGTCACCCCTCTGACATTGAATGCTTTCTCAGATTAGCCTTGTTGTTCATATAACTCAATGCTTCCCAGAGCTTACGTGAGAATAAATCCGTGCGCTCTATTTCATTAGGCCGGAAACTTACAATATAACAACCCATGCTTCAAGATTTTTTATGTGGACTTATATAATGTTTTAATGTTTAATATTTGTTTTTATTTGCAGGTTTGAATACATCATTAGTCCCTATGTACATTAGTGAAATAGCACCTTTAAATTTAAGAGGTGGTTTAGGCACAGTCAACCAGCTTGCCGTAACCACTGGCCTTCTAATTTCTCAGATCCTGGGTATTGAGCAAATACTTGGTACTGACGATGGTTGGCCTTTACTATTAGGTAAGGTTTAGTTCTAATTTTAGAGTATTTCTTCTGCATTTATCATCTCCCTCACGATGCAAGATGAAGATGAAACCTACTTGGAGTAGTGCGGAAAAACAAGCAAATCTTGTTAGAAAAATAGTAGTGTTGATTGCACCATAAAACATCACTTTTCAGTACAATCCTTCGTACATTGCTAAATATTTCTGCGTCCATTTTTTTTTTTCATGTAAAAGTTTGTACCAGAAAAGTTGCTCTAAAGAATTATTATGGCTCACACCTGTACCCTTATCAGAAATTTTGAGACACCGCAATCAACATTTTGATGGCTGAAGCACCATCATGTTTCTCCGTTTGAAATGTTAGACTTTCTGTCACACTTTGTTTTTTCTTTGGGAAACAAGTCAATGTAATTTCTTAAAAATTTCCGGGATTTTTATTCTTTATCAGCAGACTAAATCTACTAAAATGCATGTGTTTAAATGAAAAATGCCGCCAGATGACATCACAAGGCGGCATATTTTCTCACTTTTAAATCGATTTTTCTCCAATTTCCCATGTCAGAAAAAAATTATATAAAATATTGTGAACTCAGCTCATTAGGCACTCCAAGATGAAGCAATAAAATTTTTGTGTGCAAATTCTCCATTCAAAAGCTTGAGTTGACAGGTACCTTTTCATTTGATCAAAACCTGTTTCGTACACTAATTAGAAGTTTTCCGAGTTTCATCATGTCATAGAGGACGTCCTGCTAAAAAGTTGATGGATGGCATCCAAAAAGAGATGGAGAGGTGTCAGCTTTGGGCAAATCTCTACCTTGACAGATTCCAACGGTGGTTAGGCATCGTAGAGCGCCCTAGTGCTCTGTAAAAGTGACTGATAGCAGGGCGTCTAGCATCAAGATTTCCCCGATTCTATCAGGATTTGAGGTCAATCAGGATTTAATCCCGATTTCATCAGAATTTGAGGAAAAATCGATCATAAAATCAGGATTTTAGAAAAATCGGCTGTCTGGTCGGATTTGTTCTGCTTTCGCAGACGCTTATGCAGAAATTTTAATTTTTCTCTGCAAAAAATCAGGATTTGGAAAAATTATGAAATCAGTATTTAGCAATAAAAAATCAGGAAAAATCAGAATTTCCCAAAATGAAAAAAACTAAGACACCCTGAATATGTACATACTGTTTATTACATTATTTTCCTTTTTAATTGATTCAAAACACCTGACACATATTTAATTTCTCGTGTTCTTTCTGTTGCACAGGTTTAGCAATTTGTCCGGCTGTTCTCCAATTAATCCTGCTCCCCGTTTGTCCTGAGTCTCCTAGGTATCTATTAATTACAAAACAATGGGAAGAGGAAGCAAGGAAAGCTTTGAGAAGGCTGCGCGCCTCCAATCAAATTGAGGAGGACATCGAAGAAATGAGAGCTGAACAGAGGGCACAGCAAGCTGAGGCGACGATATCCATGACTCAACTATTGTGTTCTCGTACTCTCCGACCTCCCTTAATCATCGGTGTTGTGATGCAACTTTCGCAACAATTGTCAGGAATCAATGCGGTTAGTAGGCATTTTACTTACATCCACAGCAACTCAATACTCTCACAGAAATGGTTTTTTCTCTAAAATTTCCACCAAGAAATGCATGCACTTTTTTTCCTCAAAGTTTTCAAAATAGTTTCCTTCATTCAACTGATCCGGTTGATCATTGCATAGGTGATAAAATTTAAAAGTCAGGAAAAACTTAAAGCAAGGTTGAATACTGTCATGCTGAGTAAAAACACCGTATGAACATAATGGGTGTTGCCAAAAGTTCTCCACCCAAAATATTAATTTTTTAGGAAAGTTATGAGTACTCACTCTTGAAATTAATTGGCTTTTTAGATTAATCTGCGAATAAAATTCTTTGAAAAATTAGTACAGAAATATTCCCAAGTTTCCGAGAAAATATGTGTTTTATCCATGAAAATTTTATAACGTCTATTGTTTCATACGACATTTTTCCTTAGCACGGCAGAGTAGAATTATTTGTGACAAATATAATCTGATCCTCTCTCACTCTCAAACATTTAGAGTCTAGTGTCAGAGGACTTAAAAGGGCTTAGCTAATATTTTTCCCCGATTTCTTGGAAAATAACGTAAGTATCAATAAATGAAACTTTTGAAAATAACGCATTTCTCCAAAATTTGCTCCGGAGGTTAACATGATTCATTATTTACAATTATTTCATTCTTCTGAAATACTGAACAGATTCTTATTCTTTACAAATACCGAGAAATTAATTTTTTTGCCTTTTCATCAGTACCGACTATCCAAGTTTCTCCCAAGTTTGTTTTATGTTTCCTTCTGATTTTATTCTACTCTATTACCCCATGGATGTACAGTTTAGTCCTTGTTGCTTTTTAACAACAATGGTTTTTTTTTTTTTCAGGTGTTTTATTACTCGACAGGCTTGTTCGTAAGTTCTGGTCTTTCGGAGGAGACAGCAAAATTCATGACGCCAGGGATTGGTGTGATCATGGTGACAATGACGATTATTACGATGCCATTAATGGACAGATTAGGCCGGCGCACACTCCATCTGTATGGTCTTGGTGGAATGTTTATCTTCTCAATATTCATCACCATTTCTTTCCTGATCAAGGTCTGGTCAAAAATCTACTCTTTATTAATTTTAGACTTACACTTCAGGTTCCGTTTTATCAGAAGAACGATGGACGAATTCAGCTGTACAAGAATCAGCCTAATTACATTTCAAGTTACCTAGTTTCCTCTCATATTTTATTTTTTTAGCAGAGAACATATCTCCTTAACACCTTTAAACAAGCCCAGATTTGTCATCATCCCCTCGAGCGAAACTCCGAAAATTTCACCGATTTTTCTTCTGATCTCATGAAAAAATCATAAAAATTTTGTACAAAAATTCCACTAGCAAAATGTTGTAAAAAATTGAATTGTTTGAATCAATTTTGCAACCTTGAAATGGAGTTACGTTCCTTCGTGCGGGAGACAACGGATTATGAAGGATATATTCACAAATTTTCAAGTTTCGTTGTTGCCTAGTTTTCTGTTCACAAAATAATACATCTATGAGAACCAAGCAACGCCTGATGTAATTGGGCTGATTTTGCTGATATCAGTTCAAATTTAAAGTTTTCTTTTGTTAGGCGCACAACAGATATCCTAAGAATCCTATAGAAAAAGTGCAACTTTGTCATTAGCTTGAAATCTTGACTGTCCAATTTTCTTTCAGAGGCCAGAAAGACAATATGTCATAATTAATATGCCAATAGAGGGAGAGAAAAGGCGGAAAATAGTAATTTTTTGGAAAAAAGGAAGATTTGCAAGGAACATCAAAATGTACGAAGAAATAATGTATAGCATTTTTCAGTGAACAATCTTCAAATCCAATAAGATATTTCTGTCATAAGGAAAGAATAGACTTTACGCTTCTACACTGCCCCTTCAACAAAATTCTTATTAGTGCCAGTATACTTAATTAAGTTGATTTCAAAAATTAGAAAGTTCCTTACAGGAACACAATATAAGCTTTATCCTAATTTTGTGAAAGTTGAGAAGTAACTTTCTTTATAGCAACAGTTCTGGAGGTAATATTTGGAGAGAGAGAAGAAGAAAGTTTTATAGAATTTTGTCTAAAATGTTTCTTTTTTATTTTATGGTTTCTAATGTGCATCTATCAGCTTTGTTTTTCAAAACCGTAGTATGATATCGTAAATGAGCCCATTGAATGTCAATGTATTGACTTGATCTTCGATATATCATTAAAATTTGATATGATAGGGACCTAGGAAATGTTTGTCTTTCTGCCAAAAGTGGACAAAGATATTCATCATCTCTTGACTGAAATTTCGGACTTAGAATATTTTTTTATTTACCTTCTTGTATACCTTATAAGCTGAATTTATGAATTCAGAAAAATTCATACTAATCCTGAGAAAATCAACTCTTAGAACTTATGATACATCGCCTAATTTTGAACATGCTTTTCTCTTGTTTACTGTGCTTCATCCTTTCAGCTTCTCACTTCAGCAAGCTGGTGATACTAAATTTAGCAGTGCTCACCTCAATTTAAAAACTGATATCGACTCAGGTTCATCAATTTGCAATCAAACTTTGATTCAAACGGCACCTTTCATCAGTAGTTGATCTGAGCGTCAACTTCCATGCCAAGTTAAAACTTTACCTTTCACTCCTTCCTTGCAAAACTTTGCCCTGTAAAAGTACCGTATAACTTAATTTTGAATGAATACCAAACTATTCACCGTATCAATCATTTTCTACATAAGATTTTGAAGAGAAAATATGTGATTTTTTCAACTGTGACTACTGGCCCATTGCCTTTTCGAAGTTTGTGAAATCTGAAACGGGACTTTCATGAACAGTCAGTCAGTTTTGCTTTTCTAGGGAACTTTTAACTGAGGTAAACTTGGCAAGGTGGTTGACATATGTGACTACTAAATGTTGCAAATTTATTTTTTTCTGCTCTCACCAGCCAAAGCTCTCAATTTTATGGATTTTGGTCGGCAATTGTAATTTTTAGACTGAGAAAACTAAGTTTTTTTCTTTCTCTTTTTTTTTTTCAAAATAATCTCACGATAACGATTAAGCCAATTTGTGGTAACTATGAATGGTTTATTGTCAAGACATGGAAAGTTTCTGAAAAGACTTTTTTTGGAAATTGGTGATTTAAGGTTTTGAAAACCCTGTGTACCTGTCAAGTGGAAATTTGAATTTTAAGATGTAAATTTGCTCTAAAAGAACGGAAGTTTTTAGCTTATTTTTTCTCACCTATGGCACTATAACTTGTGGAAATAAGAGTGGTGAATCATAAGTTCCAACGAGCTACACATGCTTTTAAAAAATCTTTGTTTTATTAGTTTGGTTTTGTGCCTTTGTTCACCCGTTCATCAATTGGATTATTATATTAATGCTGAATGCACTATCATGAGAAACTTCTAACTTACTTTCCATGTTTTGGATGAGTGACCTTTAGTAATTAATGCTTTTAAACATGCTTACTTTCTTTCCTCAGGTCAGCACACCAGGACTGGTAAACTGCATGAAAAAAACGATTGTTTTTTAGTTGCCAGTTTTTGCAGTCACTTTATATTTATTTTCTTTTTTTTTCCTCCTATCATATCGGTCTCTGCAATCAAATTTAAGTCCTGAAAACAATATGAAATGAAAAATTCCCCCATCCATCATTTCTTTACAGGGCTCCAAAAATGTTTTCTTTTAAGAGCAACAAATCAACGCATGAAATCGCCAGTCTATGAAAGTTTTTTATTTGTCCACCCCCATATATTGATTTACCTCATCTCACCTTCTAAAAATGCAACAGAATAATTTATTTTTTTAGACTATTCATATTACATTCTGTTATTAGACTATACTTTCAACAGAGCAGACTCAATTCATCTAGGCACTATCACTTATTTATAACCGCAAAACTCATGAAAATCGGCCCATTAAAACAGTAGAATGAACCGTGAAAAAATGAAAACTTAGAGGGATCAGAGAGCTCAAAGTAATTATATTATTTTTGAAACAAAAAAATGTAACTCTCCTCACTGGATCTCTGATATTACCGCAAAAGGATCCAGCAGTTGCATGTTTTTTTCATCATTCTTGTTCATTAATTTATTTTTATATTTTAGTTCTGCTTCTTATGCCCTCCCGTCCCTTTTTTGTAAACCGAAAACTTTCCTAACACTCACTGGAGGAGGGAATCTGGTTTACTGCCGTTAATTATCTTGAGTTCATTTTCCCTGCATCACCACTCAATGATTTGCAAGTAAAACATTAGTTTTGGGCTGCTGAAAAGTCACAAGGTTACGATAAAACCTCTTGGATGTCTGTTGATATTCAGCTTCCTTTTTTGCACTTATAATCAAGAATAATGATAACTAAATATGAAAAATGCATATTTTCATCGCAGCGTTTTTTTCATCGTGTCGTAATTTCCTCCAGGAAAAGTAATCAAAACGTTTTCTGTAATTTTGAGTTAAGGAAATTCTCGGAAAATTTCAAAATCAACGATTTGATGGTTTTCGCTAAAAGATTAAAACCAGAGGCGTGGCGTGCTTTGCGATATATCAACATATGACCCATTAAAATCTACGCAACAGGATCGATAAACAGGGTGTTTGCAATGAACGTCTTAATAATCAATTTGTTACAATGGCTTCAAATGGGGAATTATCGGTAATCAATCATTCAAGCCTCACCTCTGAATAAAACATGAGCAAAGACGTACAAAATCGCAATCTGAGATATGCATTTTTCAACCTTAGCCATTAATCATTCGAAAGAAACATAACTGACACTCTCGCTGCTTATAGACAGTAAGTTTAATCCACGAGCTCTAGCCACACACTAATGCTAAGATTATTTACCATTAACATACCACCACAATGCTAGTATTAATGCGACACAACATATCGCTTAAGACTTATTTCACATACACGCTAATTTACAAGCTGTCGGATCAAAATTTCAGCCAGCTATCTAAAATTATGCTTAATCTATTTATTCAATTCACTCAGCTTTATTTATCTTCACCGTACAAAGTACTATCTAACAAATTTAGCCTGTTAGTTCATTCTTTTTGCATTTTAACTCTTAGATGTTCTAATGCGAAAACTTTCTTCAAACTTTGAATCATAGCAACAATCAAAGTGAGTTGTGTTTGGGATTTTTTTTTCTAGTTTTTTCTTTGGAGAATTACTCCTAACAAATATGTCATAGATGTACGTTAAATACGCCCCTAACAAGTCCATCACTTACTGTTTTTATCATTTTTAAACTTATCAAACAGAGTTATGTGATAAATCAGTCATTATTCTCTCATGAAGCTGGTTTTAGTTTATGTTCAGCAAAAATTGGGTTTTCTGCCATCGATCAAATTTCCTACTTCCTAAGTGGAAAAATTTGTACTTTGTTCAATGAGGCAATCGGTAGACCAAATTTTACACCTTAGAGTATGAATTTGAGCGAATCACTATGGAAAATTGTAAGTCTAAGTGCGTAAGTTTAAATCGGTCATAAATTCTCAATGTGGCTGTAGGATTGCAGTAATTGATTTTTTAAAATTTATTAGTATTGTTCTCTTGATAGTTAGATTTGAACAACTCAGAATGAAAAAAATTGAAATTGGTGTGAATTAGGATTTTTTCTAATAATCTCAACTGTTGATTTTAACGTCGTTGGGAAGAAAGAGGAACTTCATGTTGACTTTTTTTTTACAGTTCTCAAAAATAATTGAATGTATTGAATCTCAAAGCTTTCTAGTTCTATGTCAGATAATTATTTTAAGATGAAGTTTCTAGTTTGAAACTATATTAAACAATATCTAAGACGCGTTCACACCGATGCCCTAAGTGCAAAACCACCTATGTCCGTTTGCGACGTTGCAGGCTTCCCGTCGTATTTTATTTTTTCTTCTGAAAACTGGTCAACATAATTTCTTGAAAATGTCTATAGTTTTTCCTCTTTGTTGCAAGAATATTCTGTCTACATATATTTCAAGTATAAACTTGGCTTGTTTTCCTTCAAAAAAATAATGTAGTAATGGAAATTTTGAAACACCGCAATGGATGTATGTGGTTTTGCATTTTGGCCGTCAATATGTTCCACCAAAAAGTGTGGCCGACGCTTTCTGGTCGCGTGGAAATTTTTTAGAAATAGACTATTTTTTGCAATTGGGAACTACAATTTCTGGCTCATCTGTGAAAACACATATGTGCATAGGGAAACTAATGGTACGTATACGTTCCTCCTGAACCTAGTTTAATACTAAAGTTCCCAATTGCAAAATGCAGTCCAAAGGCACCCAGGCAGCCTAACTTCACTCAGCCTGTTGGTATCAGTATCTGTCTGACCCTCCGGCTGATTGCGTGAACATACTTTGGCCAATGATTAGTTTATGTCAACAGCCTAACATACTTGCAATATCATTGGTATTTATTCATTTTTTAGCATGAATCCTTTAATTTTACTTTAGTACACCAGTAGTAGATTCCTCCAGGTTAGGCAACTAACTCGAGTTGTAGGAAAGGCCTGAACGAAGTTCTACCGTCCAATAGGAGTTTTTTGGTTTTGTCCAGGAAATGATCGACTGGATGTCGTACCTGTCTGTCATCTCTACACTCATGTTTGTCGTATTCTTTGCTGTCGGACCGGGGTCCATCCCGTGGATGATCACTGCCGAATTGTTCTCTCAAGGGCCACGGCCAGCAGCTATGTCGATAGCGGTTCTTGTCAATTGGATCGCTAATTTCGTTGTTGGAATCGGTTTCCTACCAATGAAGGTGAGTCGAGTTTTTTTCAGTCAGTCCAGCGGGCCGATTATTGGAACTGATAGACAAAGCTATAGACAAAGAAGATAAAGGGATGCAGAGGGACCCAATTGGTGGAAGTGGGTGGTTGCAATGGACAGAAGAGGTAGCTAATAGACTAACTAACAGCAACCCGCGAGAGACCCTATGGTTGATCTATTATTTTCTTTCTGAGCCTATAGAAACCACCCATTTGACAACCAATAAGATCGCTTCATACTCTGTATGTCTTCTTTGTCTATTGCTTCATCCATCAATTTCTGTCATGCTAAGGGAATAAGCCATGTTAACATTCAAGTGTTGCCAGATTTCCTCTGATGAAATGTTCAGTTTTGAGGAGATCTGATAGGGAGTAAAATTCTCTGAAGAATTCGAAGAAAAATATTCAGAGATCTCTCCAAAAATTCATATTTTATCAAAGGAAATTCGGCAATGTATGAAAGCTCACACGGTGTTCTGCTTTAGGATGGCAGAGTTGCAGTGTAATATTCTTTGCTATCAATGAGCATTTTTTTAGAAAAAATTATATTGCTGAACTGCCCTAAAAATTATTTTATTTGGCATTTTGTTTAATTAACTCTGAAGATGGGCGACACTATCCAGGAGCAGCCTAACTAATTTTAGGGTCATAAACTTTCCTGTTACTATTTTCTTCTTTCTTTTTTTTGTTTGTTTCTTCTGATCAAGGAACACATCATTATTCTACCTTGAGATTTTTGAAGAATATTCTTTGCAATCTTCAGAAAATTCCTTGAAATTTTCCATTAATGATGTTCTTTAGTTCTGTCTGAAATTAAACATGAGAGGAAATTTTACAGCATCCAATACAGTTACTCTAGTAGCAGAGACGTTCAAAAAGCAATTTTTAAAAACTCTAAAAGATATTGTTAAAATTTTTGTTTTAAGAAATTCTTTTTAGCAATTTTTTTTATAAAATTTGTGGAATGTTCACTGTAATTACTATTATCAAGATTGAAATATTTTTTTATCGTGTTAACCACAATTACTATCTTCAAAATGTTTGGAATTGATTTGGTCTCTCTCTAATCCGTTTTGTCCTCTCATTTTTCCAGACTGCCCTAGAAAACTACACGTTTTTACCATTTAGCGTTTTTCTGGCCATCTTTTGGATTTTCACGTACAAAAAAGTTCCAGAGACTAAAAATAAAACTTTTGAAGAAATTTTAGCTTTATTCAGGTAAGTGCAACGGCATGTAAAAATTTCTATTATTGTAATCGCTCATGGTTTCAGAGAAGTTGCCATTTGCTTGAATCAAAGGATATTTCAAATTACTAATAATAACGTTTTCAACCACTTCCAAGAAATTTGTAGAAGCTCAAAATATGCGCAAGTGTCAAAAATTGAAAGGACTCAAACAATTGAGATTATTTTTAGGTTTTCTGCCGTAACAACTCGGAATTTTTCATTTCGTCAATTTAATCAAATCTCATCATGAACCGTCTGTTAAAAGCCACTTACATCCTACCTTAGCTCTCCAGTCATTCATTACAGCAGGAAAATTGCATTTCCTTGAAAAAAATTAAATGAATCTGAATGTTTGAGTTGTCACCTTCAGTTACCGTAAAATGCACACAGTAAACTGTTTCAAATGTACGAAGTCTAACTGATCTCAAAAATGGTAATAGAAAAATAATGAAATCAATTGCTTTATGAGAAGGAAATGTTGAGTAAAAAAGTGTAAATCATTAAGACACAGTTTAAAACATTTCCTCTGATTTTTCCTTTGGCATATTGATCGATGAATATTCATCGTCTTTACAAGAAAGGTAATCAAGATTGGATGTATAACTATCATCTAGACCTGCTCATTAGCATTCTATAAATCGCCTCTGTACGTACCATTCGTGCATACTGATTTTAAATTAACTATTTCCTGTCTTGATGGATTGATTGCTCTAGAAATTCAACATAATCACTATGTCGTCACCTTGCAGTTAAAATATCACAAGCGCCACTCTTGCTTTGGCACTATACTGCTGTGCCAAAGAAGAACGCTGTATGAGCCTTCAGACATTGCCAAGTTTCATTTTATTAAATGCGAATTTTCCGAGAAACGTGTGAAGATTTTTCCTCCAAATTTTCATAGAATTTAATTAGTAATCGTATCTCAATTATCTGATAATTTCAAAGGAAAATATTCCCAAGTCTCCTCAAAAATTAACATTTTATCAAAGACAGTTTGGCAACTCTCGAATGTTCATACTGCGTTTTTCCTCAGCACGGCATTATATTGCCAAACTTCTTAGACTTGTCCAATTTTTTTCGAAAAAACTAACAAACCGAATTTCTTGAAAATTTTACCTACTATTTCTTTCGTCATCAAAATTAATCCCTGAAATTTTCATGAAAATGTGTGCCTAAGTTTCAGAGGAAAAATTAAAAAATATTGATATATCTGACAACATGAGTGTATATGTCACTTGTGATGCCTACTTTAGGCAGATGGCAGGAAGCTGTTCTGTGTATTGTTTTTTCATCTAGCACCCTCCTGTATTTCATAATATCAAGGGGCAAATCAGCTTTCTTAAATTGGACTGCGTTTAGCAGAAAGGAACCAAGCCACATTAGCTATTGCCAACTGTAACTAGGCAATTTGATTTTTACAAGAGAGTGTTTGTACAGATTCCTTTGAAAATTTTAAGGAATTTACTTTGCACTATGCAAAAAATTCACTGAAATTTGCATAAAAATCCGCACAAACGCTTTCAAGTAGAAAATTAAATTGCCCAATTGGATTTGGCATTAATTAAAACATGGTGATGTGGCTTGGTTCCTTTCCGCTCAACGCGGTCCAATTAGAAGTCACTAAGTTTCTATCATTGCAAACTTATTTAAAAGATTTTTTTAGCTCTAAAAGCAGGATCAGTCTTAGGAAGTGATTTTCCTGATTTCTTTTCACTCATCTTTTTCTGTTACTTCATCCACTTTGTTTCTCTTTTGTTTCTTGTGTCTACCAAAGGATGAGTTTACATGATAGTAGACTCTATGGGTGAGTCCTGTAGTCTTGATCTCCTAAAATGCTTGCCGCTGCATCTCGTTGTATTTACTACCTTTCTTAAAAAACCGTGTCTTTCCAGGCTGTGTCGCTTTTTTCCTCGCTGTTACTTACTTTTTCAACTACATTATTTTATCATTGGCATATTGAAGTATACATCATCATTTTTTAATGTCCACCTAAACCATGTCTCCTATCAGTATAATTTCTTAAATTTTCTTCAGTTATTTTTATTTTTTATTCTTTTCAGTTATGAGTTTTTTCTTCTTATCTTTTAATTTTGGTTTTTTGCTTTTAAAAATTCTTTACAGTAAACCCGGTGACACTCCGCCCACACGAGGGCAGCCCCAAGCAAATCCTGCGTTTGAGGAGACACCTCTAAATACAACCAAAGCTTTTACTGGTTCAACATCAACGTATATGTAGATGATTTCAACTCCATCCCTCTGGCTGCGAAGCCTCAAAAGTTCACTCTAAAATGAATTCCTTTTAATTCTCTGACATTAAGTATTATTCCTATTTAGTGGAAGTCTTTCTCCTGTACACTACTGAATTCCAAATGAGACTCATGTTAATTTCTGCTAACTTTTGGTGCTAATACACCAGTGTACAGAGGTTCTAAAAGCACAGGAACTAATATCATATTGAATCAAATATTTATTATATGTGGGAGGGGACAAACATGCTCATCAATTGTTGTACCATCCGGGCCTTATCATACTTAAAAAAAAACCTAAAAGTTGGGAAATTTAAAAATTATTCTATCGTAGAAAACACAGAGTATATTGATTGAAATATGTGGTACAAAGAGTCTTTTTCCATGTTTAGAATTTAAATATTGGTTAGTAATGTAGTAATGATCGTACTTTCTGCAAGTATAACTTAATAATAGTATAAATTGAATAGGTATTTGAATCAACATTTTGAGTAAGTATTAGTCATGATCAAAATTAAAATAGATCAAAAAAAGTTAACAGTATTGATCTCTCTCCCGGAGTTATATCGCCGTTTTAATTTGTTTTCATTTAATTCTCAGTTTTTGCACCTTCAAGTCTGTTTTTGTTTTATTAATTTTTTACTCCATCACATTTTTGTTATCCTTTATTTGCCAGAAAAGAACAACCCATTTTTGTGTGCCAGTTTTTACGCTTACTTTAATTTCCATGTGTTCGTGCTTTTGTTTTTTAAGGAATTTTTATTAGTTATTTTCAGCACTACATTACCAGCATCACTTAAAATGTTTAAATTATCACATTAGGTTTAGATGGTTCATTTTCAAGTCAATAGAAGCTAATATTTTAGTGCAACTATGTACCTTCATAGCATCTTGTATGCAAAATAAGAAAAAAGCGTTCAAAGCAAAGGAAAACATGATAAGTGTGTTACTTCGTTTTTGGTGGCTTTGTTCTGATACGAAGCACATATTTAAATTTGAAGTTTTCGAAATTTCCCATCGTACTATATTTTTCAAAAGAAAAAATCAAGCAGGTAACATGATTTTCTCAAGACTTATGATTTTCATTTTCTCAGTGAAGTAGAGTGTGTGAAAACTCTAAGCAATGAAGTAGAGATTTTCTTAAAAGGAAAAAATGAAAAATGTCGGAATACTGCTGCTGTGGTGCTTTTTTTTTCAAAATTTATATTTGTGTAAGCTGAAAAATCCTGAATATAATCCTGCAAAATGTCGCAATAATTTTACATACAAAATCTTACATTATTTTATGATTAATTAAGTACGTAAAATGCTCAACAGAGTTTTTATTTAGACTTATGTTAACTTCAATGGAGTAGTACGTTTTCTCTTCAAGATCATGTGTAAAAAACGTTTCACAACCACAAAAAGTTTGGAAATTACCTCCGAAGTGAGATATTAACAAATATTTTGAAGACAGATCGAATGGAAGTTAGATTCTACAGATAATCTCTTTTGTAAATTTGCCATTCCCTTAATGTTAAATGTAAACACCGATATCTTGCTTACATCTTTCTGACATCTGTTGTTGTAAAATTTTGAAGAGATTACATGTTACCTCACGATTTTCGTTTGAAATGAATGTCTGTAAGGATGACAATAAGATCAAAAAAATGCTTTTAAGTCATTTCTAAAAGAGAGTTAAAATAACCAACATCACTCTTGAACATCCTCATTCTTCTAAGCATTCGTGATAAACAACCCTCCTAGTATTAGCTCTCTAAGGATTAACTATTGCACAATCTTACGTTTGTTATTTTTGTTTTAAGTCAATTTTGTTGCACTCAACGAACATATCCATTCCATTGCCTGGTGGCTATGATTTTGTTTTATATTTTCCACTTTTCGTTGCAAATAAATATGCGTTCTTTTGTAACATCAGAATTTTAGTGATTTGCTGCCATCGCTAGAGGCATTGCCTCTGATCTTTTGTCTGTCTTTCAATTTCAAGTAGATATGACCATATTTGAAAGGAGAGTAAATGTAGGGAAATCCATCCAAGTGATGGATTTAACTTAGTCTTTTTTTCTGATCAGCTTCACCACATTAAATTTTTACATTGAAAAGAAGAGTATCTTCTTCTATAGGTACTATAGGTATACTTATATTTTCTTCTATATTTTATTTAGTAAAAACTTTATTTTTACCCTAAAAAAAATAGCACATTACATACTTGAAATGATTATCTTTTTTAAAGATGCATTTCTCCACCCTCTTTAGGAGCAAATTCCAAAAATATCAAAATGATGGAAAATTTCAACCAAAATTGGTACGTAGCAGTCCAAAATTGGCTTGCCCTGGTTCATTGCACTGCTATTGCAACTATCAAATCGAATTAGATAAATCTGCATTTGCATTGTGTCTTATCCAAATAATCAAAAGTTTAGGGTACCATGATGAAAAAAAAAATGCACGATTTAAAGAAATAAAAACAGTATTCGACCTCAAAAAAAAATACCACATTTTATTGGTACAGCAATCAGTTCTGGTATCAAATGTAAGCGTTGAAAGTCGAATCCTGTTTTTGTTTCTTTGAATTTTGCAATTTATTCACTACAAATAACTCCTTAGATCTTCTCTGCCATTATTTTTCTGACTACTAAATTAGAAAACATCAAGATTTTGTGCCCAATTGATGCAATGCGATATGTTGCACATCATTTCAACCACAACCATAGCCAGGGACGAATCTTTTTAGACAGATTTTGCTAGTTTTTGCTTATCTTTAAGACTTGACAATTACCATCTAATTGAGGAGCTTTTTAAAATAAAGGCCCATCGAAAAAATCCCGTTTTAGAAAAATTAAGTTTAAGTGCCCATAATTACTATCTGGCCAATGATGGTGAGTCACATTGGAGCTTTGAGTCCAATATCTGATGTAAGTCACCATCAATGGCCAGGAAGTAATTATGGAAACTTTAAGTGCATTTTTCCCAAATGCAATTTTTCGGAATGGGTCCTTTTTCCAGAAAGCTCCTCAATTCTTTAACTTGTTCAGGCCAAAGAGAAAAAGTCTTGGATGGGCTGTACTAATACATCATTGCATAATTTGCAGGAGTTTGTTGAACTGCGTTGATCAACGACTGCCGCCCTCCGAAAGAGCAGCCTTGATGGTGGCAGAGGAGAAACCTCTTCCAGATACTTGTAAGCTCTCTTTGCCTCAATCAGTAGTTGTTGATGTTGTTTAATTTGTGAGAACTGCACGCACTTTGGTCCTCTTTCCTGGCTTTCATCAGTTTGAGCATCAATTGGACGTATTTCTGTCAAACAGAACTATAAGTACATTATGACTTGAGCCCTGTTATACATATATTCTTATGGGTCTCAGGGCTCATGTCTTAATCCACATAGTTCTATTCGGCAGAAATATGTCCAATTCTTCCACAAAACATGGTGTCTAGGAATGGCAAAAACCGAGATTTATCAGTGAATGAAAAATTTCAGGGAAAAATTAGGGAATCTGTTCCAAAAACCACGGAGCTCCTCTTCTACCGCTTAGAGACCATTATAAAATGTGTGTTATTGAACCTAAGCCGCCATTAGGTATTCACCTCTTGAATTTTCATTTTGAAACTTTTTTCACTATTTTTTTTTTCAAGTTATCATCATTGAATTTACAATGCCATTTTCGGATTCACCCTCTTGCACCATTGCCCTTCAATACCTGTAAACTACGTTTTTAAATAATGGAATTCAAGTGGAATCATCGACAAAAAACTGATGTTCTGTTTTATCTATACTGAAGTACACAAAGTAAAAAAAAACTTCAACATCCTGTTATACTGAAGTAGCTTTATATTTTTATGGTTAAAAGTTAATGGTCACATTGTTTGACTGCCGGAATTTGTTAAATACTTGCTGCTAAACCTCTTCAACCTGCAGTTCTCTGGGTTTTGAGGCATTATAACCCTTCCTTATACCTTATAATGTGTAGAATCATATTTGAATGTCTCCACCAATCTTGTACTTTAATGAATTTCTGTCACGCTGAGGAAGAACGCTGTGTGAACCTTTCAACTTTTCCAAATTTCCTTTGATGAAACACAAATTTTCAGGAAAAATTGTGAATATTTTTCGTCAAATTTGTATGAAAATTTCCATGAAAATATTATCTAAAGTGTCTGAAAATTGCAAGTAGAAATATTCATTACTTTTCTCAAAAATTAATATTTACTGAGGGAAATGTGGTAAAAGTTCACTCGGCGCTTTTCCTTGGCACGGCAGTACCGGAATGAAAGCAAAATCCAAATTGCTCACTATTATCGATGAGTTAGTAAACTGCCAGTTTCTGCAAGGTATCCTTAGTCACACTCGAGATGATCATTTTCACATTGTTTTATCTATCCTGTAGAGAGTAAATGGTGTGCAGAAAAGCATCTTAAACCGACCTAAGTTTTTTATTTTCTCGTTATTTATTTAAACTCTTGATTTCAACCCAATATTTGATCTTTTAAAAAAACATTACATAAGTCTATGATAATTCTTTGTCTATTTTAAAATGAGCGTCTCGAATTGGATTAAAATTAGCCCCTATGTACGACTCAATTTTCAAGCTACATTTTTTGCCCCAGTGCATGCAGTTCTCTGTGCCTTTTTTTATTGCTCTAAATGTACATGTAATTGAAAGTCTGCCATACATATTTTCTCTCTAGTTCTTGTAGAATCAGAATGCTGACATAATTTCATCCTTGAATTTCCCTGTAGAATGGCCAAAATTTTTTTGTTGCCTGTTTGAAGAGTTGATACCATATTTTCAAGTTATTTCTCGATTTCTAATCTTTATTTGGTGTCGGTTGAATTTTAGTCTCTCAGTCTTATGAAGCTGAAATATGTATACTTATATTTCCTTTATTGAAGGTTATCAATTTTGCATACACAATTTTTGTTTTAGTTCTCTTTACAAACACCAAGCAGAAGTAGAAGGTTGATTCAAAAAGTGAGTTCCACTACTTCATATTCTCAGGACTGAAAAAGATTAATAACATTGGTTCAGAAGAGCATATCAGACACATTCTCTGTTTTAAACAAGCTTGTTTAAATGTTAAAAATATATTTGTTAAGAAAATTTTTATCGAATTGATTTATCCTTTTCAGTTTGGCAGGTATGAAATAGCAGAACTAACTTTTTGTATGACCCTCGTACATTAATTCAAAATCCATTTGCTGAAAAATTAATTTTAGCATTGTGAAAACATACTGCAACAATATTGAGCAAAAATATTTGAAACAATATACGCACAATGGTTCAAAAACAAATTTGCTTCAGATAATGATGCAAAAAAATGTTTTGCAATGGATTTCCTGTGTAAATCCTACCATAAAATTGCGTCTCATTTCCATTCCTTCGATGAAGATGCTGTGTTTCTAAGTGCCAACTTCTTCCCATTCATGTTTTATAGTCCTTTTGTTTCGTTTTGTTTTAAACTCTTACATGCATGGTAGCAATCAAAAAATAAAACTTGTAAAAAGAGCTGTGATATTGCATGTCAGGAAGACATTTCAGTAAATAGGTATGGAAAGATATTTTTGATTGAACGCCTGAAGTAGGGAAATGAACTTCTCATTTCAACTTATTTTAAACTAGGGACCTATTTCCTTTAGTTGGCAAATAAACTGGATACCTTGTTTAAAATCAAATATTGCTGTAGAGTTGAGAAAAATTTGTCCCTTCATCTTCCGACCTTCTTGCGAGCACTCAACAGTGACTTAAATGATTATTTCTTCATTTTTATATATGTACTTCAACCAATCGAGTTTAGCCAATAAGACTCTTTGCGTAGTCATTTTTAATGCTTCACACACTTCCATTGTAACAGTACAAAATATCAGTGGAAATGAATGATCACCCTGCGGTTTAACAACAGCTGAATAGAGAAAACATTAATTTTAAACTACTACATGGAAAGTTTGTCTTTAAACCAGAATTTTTGCCAATTAAGGGAATAAATTATGATTTGGTAGGTATGGTACATACTTTTTTTCTTGGTTGAATCATTTTAGCTTTGACCTCTTAGAACATTTTTTTGGGAATTACACATCTTTTAAATCACGAAGAGCATATTTTTGAGTGGATTGAACCTATCTATTGCCTTAAGGGACAGGTAGGAGGCCACAGATGTGGAAGGAACCAAAGATGTCACTGAGAAACTGACTATTTTTAGTCCTATCTACCTCTGGAGAGATACCTTTCACCCAAATTCTGGTCATAAAATCTTTTCACTTTTAATTTAAACTCCTTGTAAAATGCAAAGTCAGTTTTTGTGAATGTAAACAATTTTTTGGCTGAAGATTGCTCAAAAAATCACCTAATTTTGAAAAGAGATGAATTTTTAAAGGAGTCCTAAGCCCCATGCCAACAGCTTAGCCTCGTCCAATTGCCAAAAATGTGCTCTTATTTTACTCATTCATTTCTTTAAAAAACTTCATGTCTTCAAGTCTCTCTTGAATGGCTTCTGTAAAATTAGATACATACGATCCCAATGTCTCTCCCAAGTAACTATTACGTATAATTTTTGGCTAATACTCTGAGTCACAGAAACATCTCTTATAGAAACTGATCTCTTCTTTTGAACTTTGCATGGCAGTGATGAACCAGTGTGAAAGACAGGCTCTTTTAAGTAAAAACACAATAAGAAGGCATTCTGCGTATGCGTGTTTATCTACAGGTAATTTTTAACGTAAATAATGGAATCATTTGAGTGCTATCACTATTTTCACTCTTTTCACTGCCTTTTAATTACGAAGTTGCTGAGTAAACAAATTGATCAAACTCTTTCTTCTTTCTTTGATTCACGTAGTCTTGAGATTAAAAGTACTGTAAAACTATCTGCTTTTCACCCATGTGCTACACAAAGTTAAGTTATAGGCTTGGGAACAAATG